ACCATGTATAGTACCTCATTTTTACGTATACGACGTAGAAGAAAAAGAGAAATAAAAAATTATAAAAATAAGTAATGTGTGAGATTATTCCATAAACTATGATGCATGGATATAAGATTGTTAATATAAAAAATATAAATTATGTTTTTTTTATGAAAATACTATGACTTTATATATTATTTATTTTATTAATGATTATTTTTAAAGTGTAAATGATTGAGGCAGCGTTGTCGGATAATGAATAGTTAGAAGGGTTTCCTATTTGGTTGTCAGGAATAAAGTCACTGACGATTTCAACAGAAGTCCCTATAACAGCTGTTTCGATTGCAACCCTTAACATTCTCTGTTCTTTTCAATTTTTTTTAACTATGTTTTTAAAAGAGAAAAATTTGCAATCAAGCTTTTTTACATATTTTTAATATAATTTATTAAAAATATTAAAAAAGTTAATGTATATATTACTTTTTTGATTAGATGACACAAAGATTGAAAGGGTGCAGACAATGACAGTTCCAGAGGCCATCCCGGATTGAAGTTAGGTTCTTTCGTTATTAAATTGTACGAACTCATTTTTTAATGAAATTTTCCTTTTTATTAATTTTCTGAAATTATTTTTTATTTTCCTATCTAACTGCCATCCCCATTTTTAATATTTTTCTGAATGACCGAATATAAAATATTATTAAAGTTTATTCTAAGTAAATATGAAGTTTTATTTTAAAAATATTTTTCACAAAAAATGAAATTAAAATAATTGGGAATCTGAGTTGGAGACATGAAGTTTAAAGAGGTTTTTAAATAATTAAAAATAATATTAGCATGAAATGCATGATTATTTTCATTCTCGGTATGTGCAAAATAATTGTATTTGTGTATTATACAGATAGTTGTTATATCTTCAGGAATCATTATGGAAATTAAAAGGAAAACTTTGAGAGATTAATTGTATTTTGTTTCTTAAATTTTAACTATGATTGTCTGAGGAGCTTTAAGCCAACAATATGACATATTAATAAACTATTAAATAGGTCATTTTTATGTTAAACTCTTATAGAACTTTGGTCTCAAACAAATTTTACCAAAAAAAAAACTAAAGTCAATACGTCAATATGTACACATAAAAACACAATCAACTATGTGTTGATCTTATATGACAAAGATTAACAATTTGATCAAAATTTTCAATTGCAATCTAAATTAAAAGAAAAATATCTTTTGACAATTTTTACTTACAAACATGTATTGATAACCATCTTTTAATAATAAAATACCACATAAAGATTATAATAATTTATATAATTAAAAAATTAAAATAAAATAACAATATACACAGTTGAATAATAGTGTAATAGTTCCAAAAAATAAATAGAATAAGTTTATACCAAATAAACATAAGTATATTTTCTAGACTTAAATATTTTTTTTTCTATTTTTGCAATGTTTGTTTAATTTAGTCTTTTTTTTCGTATTTAATTAGGTCCAATGTTTTTAATTTTGTAGTTGCTAATTATATTTAAATAGTTAACTTTTGTGAACGGTACATGTTATGTGTGTGGTTTTTTAAATTTATTTTTAACTTTCTTAATTAAAAAATGTCAAATTAGTATTTTACTATGTGTTAGTTTGTGGTTGTGTTTTTTTAAATTCAATTTTTATATATTTTTATTTTTATTCCATTTAGTTTTAATTTTTTTATTAAAATGGAACAATTTTATCTGAAATCAAATTTAATTTTTATTATACTAATATTTTTATTAAAATTGATGTTTTTATTAATTATTTTTTGAAATTCAATTATAAATTATTATTAAATTATAAATTAAGTATATTTTTACATTCAATTGTTAAATAGAATATAATTATTTAAAATATTATTAGAATATAATTATTAAATATTTTTCTATAATATTTATATTCTAAATATACCAGTATTTGTAAAATTGAGATTTAAATCTAAAACATTTAATATTTCTAATATTTGTAATAGTTTTAAATAATGCGTGACACTAATATTAGAATAAGATATGATATTGAGTTGACGTATGACTAATTAATTTTTAATTAAAAAATAAAAAGTAAAAAAATTAGAAAAGAATAAAAAAAAAGTAAACCACAAACTTACACGCAACCTCCCGTGTTCACAAACGTCGTTAGCAAAAGTATTAAATTTATAAAGTTTAAACCTAATTAAACATGCAAAAAACAACTGGAATAAAAAAAATTATTTTTATTTTTTTAAAAATTGCTTAAAAGAAAAACAGAGAATGATTTTTTGCCTTGGTGAGAACAATTGAGCACTAAAGTGGAATTCTGTGTTGAAAAGGCTGACCTGGTTCACTGTGTTAGATCATTTTTCGGCCCAATAAAAACCTCATTTTCTCTTTTCATTAACCAACCCATTCATATTTACTTTCTGTACCTCCAATTCCACTATTCTTTCACCTTTTATCTTACTAAAATTTATAATCTTATTATACTTATAAACCCAACCACTTAACATTTCTATCTTTCTCTATATTCACTTTATTATATATTTAGAACTATAAATAAATATTATTTTAAAACTATATTTAAGTATAATGCTAAAAATAATTACTTAAACAGACTATTTTGTAACTATGTTTGTAAATTGCACTCTTAATATGAATAACTAATCAAATAGGATTAATTTTTTTTTTTGAGAATCGCAACACAATAGTTTATCCATATTTAATGTTTGGCAATGTTTAAGTTATCTAAAAAATAGCGTGAAAGTGCAATTAACCTTCTTCAAGTGAAATGATTGTATGCTATTTATATAATTTAATAAGTATAAGTTATATTATATGTACTATAATTCTAGTAATAATACATATGCAGAAAAAAATATTATTTTAGAAAATTTCTGAGGAAAAAAAAATAACAAGTTTGATTATATATATATATATATATATATATATATATATATATATATA